ATAAATATCAATATATATATATATATATATATATGTATATATATATATATATATATACATATATATATACTCATATATACTCATTTTGTAATATATATAATTTTCAATCCAATTTCAAAATTCTACTCAATTTGATTTCACAAGAAAGTTTTGCTTGCGGTTAAGAATTCGCCATCAATTACAACAACAATATATTTAATAAGAATAAAAATAACAAGAATAATGATAGTTATAGTAAAAATACTGAGCTGAGCCAATTGGATAAAGATTTTGGATTTCATTCACTTTCCTTTGACTTCTCACAGTATTCGTAAATATTTTGGCAGTTTTCTTTAAAATGCATGAACACACATCGATTAGGGTTAAACAGTAAACAGTAAGGAAACAGATTAAGGGATAAGCACAGTAAGACTTAATCTTAGGATATTTTGGTTAGGTAGAAAGAGTGAAAGTTGAAATTAAAGTTGAAGTGAAACTTAACAAATAAATAAAGAAAACAAAGTTTCAGATTAAAGAAGCAACTTGAACTGCATTCCAAACACAATTAAGGTAATCATAGCTCCATATGCATATATCTTTTATTAAAGAGAAGCATAGACATGGTCAAGACGTAGTTGATAGCGTTAAATCTAAAAGCTCATTAATAGTATATACATATATGTATATACATTTCATTCATCATATCAGTCATGCAAGTAAAAAAGGAAAGGAGAATCATCGCGAAATATATTCATGGTCGCCTTTCGATAAAGCGTTTTCCAATATATTGTATTTCATGGATCGTTGGAATGTGTCTCGATTTGAAGCAGTTTGAACCACTGTAGACATGACATACAATAATCGTGATATATGATATATATGATTTATTTATTTGCTTTTTAAAGTAAGCTTTCTGCTAAAGTCAGACAAACAGAAGTCAATGCCATTTTAACCTGCACACACTGATAAATCTAATCATCAACCCCCCCACACACACACACACCTAATAATGACCGCGACTTGCGGGCGCTACAGAAAGCCTCAAGACTCTATAGTCTCTGGCGATAAACAAGGCTCTGCCTCTAAAGCAGCTACAAACTATGCTGCGTGTTGGTAATAAGGCAAATAAAGTGACACACAAATACAGACACACACACAAACACATACGTACACAGTGCGAGTGTCCTATATATAAAGATGAGATATATAGGTGTCGCCCCTATATACACACATACACACATACACACATACATACATATATAGCATTCGGTGTATGCGAAAGTCTCAGGTTGCACGCTCGACTTTAGTTTCCGATTCTAAGGTTTTCTGGATACCCTATAGCTATTTGATAAGGTATTTGGAGCAATGTCATATAGATAAATACATGAAAGAATGACTGAAATGGAAAAGTGGAATAACAGACAGAAAGAAAAACTATGAAGCTTAATAAGTTTCTTAGAAGAAGCTCATATTTCTTGATATGTTTTATTTTTTTTTATAGAATTATAATCGTTTTTTAGTTTAATGTCTTCTTTATCATATTTCGATTGACAGCAGTTAGAGTATCATATGTGTTAAAGCAACAAATATTGAAATATCTGTATATTAGATTATCGAATAACTTGTATAATAGATTTTATTTTTGAAATGTGGCGAAAAATAGAACTCGATATTTATCGATTCTTTGATCTGTGATTAAAATAAAGCACATAAAACTGGCACAGATAAACACTAACCAAAACTAATCCTAATATGAATTAGTTCCAAGATGACTACGAACATTTTTCGAAGCTGAAGTTTTCCTCATCGTCCACTTCAAATAACATATTTATGAAAGTGAAATTAAATGACGCGGTATCATACAGTCAGGCACTGCCGTTTGCTTTCTCCTGTACGATTTCTGTTTCTCATTTCCAGTTTCGTTTGCTTTTCGTGTGCAAAATCGCAGCCACATGGACACTATCGATCGGCCCTGGTTGGAACTGTGTGTAATGCCCCGACTGTAAGCATATGTATATAAGAACTGTAGCTATAGCTGTCTGTAACTGGAACTGCCCTTGACTCGACGTATTCCCGTTATTGTTGTAGTCGTAGGTGCAATCAACAATTTGCGACTCTGATTGACGAATGACGGGGAGCACACGGCCCAACCCCTCACAACTAGCTGACACGCATTCACGCAGTCGAAAGGGAGGTTCAATACACAAAATATTGTTCCATATATTTGTAGGTGTGCAGGCGTGTGTGTAAGGATATATACATACATGGATATGGCGATATTGTAGGCAATTCCTCAGCTAACTTGATATAAGAATTACTACTGTTTGCTTGTCCACGTGTCCACGCTCGAACATTTCTCTGGTCATATTTTAGACTCGCCAAATGAAAAGAGTATTTTGCACACACTTTACAGTTGACACGCCAGTTGTTCATTAATCTTTGACCTTTGGCACCTAATCGTTGCCTATATATACATATGTATTTTTGGTGTGTATAGCAAGACCCCGACTTGTAGCAGTTAACGCACGCGAGTCCTCTGTGAACCTCGCCTGTTTCTCTCATTTCCTTTAACCGTTCGTAACGTGAAAACTCCTAAAATTTTGTTAGCTTTAGTTAGATTTTGGTACCGTCCATTCTTGTCGTTGTTGTTCTTGTTGTTGGGTGACAAAACGCTAATGAACAGCGCACACGAAAGCCATTCCCAGCCAATCTGATGTCTACAATGTCGCCGCTGCCTCGAAAGCTGCCCTACAAAACTTTATGTTGAGTTTTAAACGCCTTTATGGCTAATCGAAGAGCTGTCGGCAGAGCGGTCACGCCGGGCTCTAACTAAATATATGTAATGTATAAGCCTGCTTTAGTTGAAAGTGCTTTATACTAGCCATGAGGTGAAAACATTTTATCATTCCAAAGTGTAACACTGAAAACATTGCAAGAAAACGGAAGGAAGTTACAGAAAACTAGAGAGGTTTTGCAATAAACTGAATCTATGAAGTACGAATGAGAGACTGAAGCATTGCCTAAGAAATGAAACTGAAACTTTAATTGATATTAATATTTAAATTTTCAACTATGAAGAAACGTTTTCGAAATACCTCCACACTGATTTGAATTGACAACAAACAGATTACATATTATAAATATTACATATACAAAAATATAAATACATATATATATGTATATAGATATACATATGGATATTTATATTCCTTTGTATAATAGAGTTCGTATTTTAATAGAGCTCGATTTTATTTCCGCAACTCAATTCGGCTTCAGTTTTTTTCGAACATAACATTCGAGTTAATTACAGCGCAACTTTTGTTTTATAACAGTATGTAATTAACATAGTTGTAGGCTGTGACATTTGTTGCTGGCTCTGATGGTCGCCATTGATTTTGTTGTATAATAATAAATTGTTCTGTTGCCACAAATTAGCATGTACTTGGGCCTACTCCTGCCGGGAAGAGTTGGCGGGGCTCGCCCGCAGCAGGAAATGTCGCACATTAATGACAGCAATTTATTGTGGTTCATTGATTGTTCCGATTGCTCAGATTGGGGCTGGGGCTTTGTTGACTGCGCACTTGTCGTAAGCAGACAGCCGGAATATATAATGAGCTCTGCTTGATTTAAGACTTATTCATTAATCAACATCGTGCGCCTGTCGACATCATAATTTAGCCGACAATCGTGAATGTAATCGACCCGGAATCTCACATGGCATAGCTCGGGTTAAGTGTTCGATATTGTTAGCATGTGAAGCGTCAAAACTGAATTTATAATTTAGTACAGGTATTCCATATTGTTTAAGAGCTTTGGATGTCAGTTGTTTATGACTAAGCTAGTATTGGAAAACATTGTTTAAGCAACTGTAAACGATAAATTGCTAAATGTTGTTGTCCAACACTGGCAATATATAAATCAAATCCATCAACCATCAGTTTAATGTAACTAGGGTATTTTTGGGAATTTGAATAAAATTTGTTCGCTTAAACTGCATCTTCGTAAACTATTCTTTCCCTTGAAATTCGAGAATGTCCTCAACTGCATATACATAACTGAACTTATAAGTTAGTGTAGGTATTCTGTATTGTATAAATCTTAAAACGCATATGGAATAAAGTATGTCAGTGCTGCAAACTGCTAATATATAAATAAACTATTTAATTCTAACAGTTGTTTTATAATTCTATTGCTAAATAGAGATGATTCGACTGCCCGGCTGAAAATGAACTCGAATCAGTTCTGATCTGGCAATTTGCTTTTATGTTGAGTGCAAATGTCTATTGGAGGCCACAAGAGCTGTCAAGTAAATAGATATATTTAGATATACGGACAGCTTGGAAAGCCCTAGTTGAGCCCATAACTTAGCATGCATAACGTAGGGCAGGTAGTCCAGCTCTCGTTCCGGGTCTT